CTGTGCAACCTGTGGATCCCAGATTAATTAAGGATTAAGGGACCAAGTCAAGAGGTTCAGGTGAGGGCAGCTGAAGAGCTGGTGTACAGGCTGTGCCAGTGATCTCTGCCCAGTCTATGGCTCTGAGTCAGCCTCAATCTACCATGTGGGAGGCCTAAGAACATTCAGTATGACTTGGGAGACGGGCTTTAAAACAAATAGTCTGCCTTTCCTCTTGTTTCCAGCTCTCCAGCATGAAAAACTGATGCTACAAAGGGCTAGGCAAAATGGAATGTGTGTGGTTCTGAGCTCAGCCCAAAGGCCCCTCCTCTACTGAAAGTCTCAGTTCCCAGGAGAGAGGATGCAACAGTGTGAAGGTTGTCACACTCAAGGTTTTCTCTCCAAGCCTCACCTCCTCTATTAAATCTGTCCCCCCACTCCTCTTTAGGTAGAACTGACCTGCTGTCTGCCCTGAATACATATACCACAGATGAATTCTCTCCTCACACCTCGAGTGCCACGATGCCCTGCGAACTCACCTGCTTCCTCCTCCAGCCCCAAACCTCCCTGAGGGTAGACGCTGTGCCTCCCATGTTCCTAGGGTCTTCCTAGCCTGAACACTATGATTTTGCTCTCTGAAAATGTTAGACAAATACTTTTCTCTCCTAATTTCATCAGCTTACATTCAGAAACAGGTTTACAGTCACAAGGGTTGTAACCTGGGCTCCAGAGGGCTGAATCCAGTCCATCCATAGGGTCCTACAAACCATAGGACCCTGCCAACCTTAGGGCCACCAGTGTTGTAGATTTATCACCCATTTCCAGGACAGTAAAATGCCTTGTTTTTAAAAAGAAATATCAAGACGATTTTCTAAAAGAAGGAAATAAAATGAGAAAGAAACACATTTTTTCTAACTGGCACAAAAGCTCTGTATAGGCTAGTCATGGCCCTATCCATATATAATTTTTAGCTGGTCAATATAACTTTAAAAATTGAATCAAAATGACTTTAGGCAGGGACATGCTCTCCAGTCTGTCAATCCCCACCACTCCCTATGGTCTTATACTCTTAACCTCTGTTATATTTATTTACCACCTAGCCCCAGAAGGCTTATAAGTTTGCAACCCTGCAACATGATATGAAACCTCATAAAGCAATCCCTTCCATCTTTGGGAAGCAAATGTTTTCAAGGCTCTTTATTAGGCTGAATGGAAATCTTCCCATAGCCTCTGTCTACCCCTCTTATTTCTGGGGTACTCTAGGTCCTATAGTATAAACATAATGTTTTTCTAAAGCACACTCTCTTACTTATTTGAAGACTATCAGCAGAGTCTGTGTGAGGCCTTCTCTTTTCCATATTAAACATACTGTCTTCCTTCAACTATTTCCTGACATTGAATCCCTTCACTATAATCCAAATGTGACTTATTATCCCCTTTTTAAAGAGGGGCATCCATACAGGCATGGTCTAATCCCTTGCAATTCAGAGTGTAATCCAAAAGCCAGTAGCATTTGCATCACTTGGGAGCCTGTTACAAATGCAGAACCTCAGACCCACCCCACACCTACTGAATCAAGATCCACAGGTGATTCATATGCACACACCTAATTAATGCAGGCTAAGATTATGCTAGCTTGTGAGAGCAACTGTGTTACACTGTCATCCCTGTTTCCTGTTATTTGAAATTCCTGTTTTTTTTCCCACACTCACTGCTAAGTTATATCTTGTATTAGTTTGATTGCAGCATGTGACAATCAGATTACATTTTGATGAGTTACCCACATGCTTAGACTATGAATTTGTGGGCAAAATACAGATCATATTCATCTCTATTTTGGGTACCAAGCAAAGGCCCTAGTACATAATAGGTGCCAATATAAAAAGTAACCAAAAAATAAAATAACACTGGTCTAAATGATTTAAAAAAATAATAATAACTCTGCTGAACAGTTCAAGGCATGGCTGGATCCAGGGCTCAAAGATGGTGACAGGGACTTGGATCATCGCCGCTTTCCACCTCTGCTTTCTTGGCATCAGCACCATCCTTGGTCCAGCTCTCCCTTGTTGCCTCAAGATGGCTGCCAGTGTCACTCAGAGCCACAGCCTTTCTCATTCCAGTCCAGCTGGCAAAGAGTCTTCTGAAAACTTATGGGGGTAAATATTTCTTTATTCTTTCCTTTTTCAGAAACCTTAGCAAATGTCTCCTCCAATTTCATTAGCGATGATGGAGTTATCAGTTCATTTCAGAGCCGACTACTGGGGCGAGGGGGTTTAATATCCTAATGGGTTTATTTCAGTGAGGACCCACTCATGAGGAGCTAGAAGCAGCTGAAAATTGAGGGGAGGGCTCTATCAGGAAATTAGGAAACTGTTTGGAGAGGCGACATGTGTGCTGGGGAGGTGACCCATGGATTCTACCATAATGTTAAACAAGTCTGCATTTCAGTTTCTTTTAAATCTTGCAACTGTTGTTCAGGATATCCAAGATTACAGCAACCACTAGCACAGGTTATGGCCAGAAAACTCTTCTATTTTTAAACGACACACAAACTCTTCTGCGCCATCACATTGTTTCAGTGATCAACTTTAAAGGGCCCTGGCTTACCTCCTCCTGGAATAATAGAGGAGTCACAGGAGTGCTGTGGGCCACTCCAAAAACCACTCCAGAGTGGTTCGCCACACATAATAGAGGGTGCACTTGAAAGGCAGCATCCAATGACCAGTTCTGGTTGAAGACTTTTGTGTTTTTCAAAAGCCCAATAAGCAGCAGAAGTGACCACAATGTGTTTGAAACTCTATAGCATGTGTCTTCAGGAGACATAGTACCTAAAACTAGATGGAAAGACTTGTAATTTTTTTAAATTAAAAACTATAGACAGGAGAGGTAACAAAGTAAAATAAGCATGAATCCTACATTTCTGTTTCAAAAATAAAACCCGAGGTATGGGGAAAATTGTAATATGGAATTCAGAAATCCGCTTTGGCCATATGCTGTACTGCATCTGCTTTCCTTGAGGCAAAAGGCTCTCAAGGACCAGTCACGCTCAGCTGGGAGAGACATAACGCCAATGAGACTGAAGGCGGGCAAGAGGGTACAGAGGGGAAACTGCTGTTTCATCTGAGTGATCAGAGGGCAAACTTCCCACCACCAGCCCCTGTGGACACATGCTACTGGTCAAGGTAGTCACTGTACAAGGGCAGATGGACCACACAGGCCCATCGCCACTTCTCAAAAGAACAGCTTAAACTAAGACCTATTTAACTCTCAGGAAGGGCATGAGTTATGAGACCTTCACAAATGGAAGGCAGCCTAAAACCAGTACCAGCATAGTCCATTCTGTCACAGAAACATTTTGTGTAGCCCCGGCTCTACCCTTTATTGAATGAAGGCCTTTCATATAATCAGTTAGTCTCAGCTTACGTTTCCTCTATGAGAGAAGGCAATAATTCCCCTCTCACTGATGGGTGTGAAAATAAAACAGTCCATGTAACAAATGCCTAGAAATGTCCAGGCCAAAGAACGCCTACTAACATCATTTTCTTCCCTGGCCCCTGCTCAGTCCCACGCGGTGCTCTAAGTTTATAAACACACCACTAAAAATATTTGGTCTCGTAGACCTTCATACATATGTGTTAAGTCATACCTTATCGTACTGCAGTAATTGTATTGGGAGGAAAAAATTTTTTTTTAAATCCTTCAGTTTTCACATAGATGGAGGTGAAATCAACACAAAATGACCAAACGGATCATGGCCTCACCTTTTACTAAATGTAAAGCCTTGGGCAAGTTTAGTTTAATAGAAGGCTTCAATCAATCACAGCTTTTAAAATAGCAGCAACAACAACAAACATCCCTCCCACTAGACTATAAAGTCCTGAGGATTGAGAGCTCATTTGTTCAACTTTATATTCTATTAACATCCCTAGTCAACTGGCCCGCACATATCAGGAAGAGAAGCTGCAATGGCTTGAAGGGTTTATCACTTGAAGGGTCTAAAAGTCTGCCAAATTATAAAATGAAAAATATAAAAATCAAAGTAGAAAGAGGTTGGACCCACTAAGAAGGAGAGTTTTCAAAATCTTTTTTTAATTAATTTTTTTTTTAATTTCTCGGCCTAGAGACAGATCTATCAAGTCTAGCTCTATGATTTCATGATTTCTGGCAAGTTACTTTTTCTGTCCACACTTCAGTTTCCTTAGCCACATAAGGAAGTGAACAAAGTTTTCCAAAATCCCTTACACCTCTAAAATTAGGTATCCAAATTTCTACACACACTTGTGGCAAATCCATGACAAAGGCATGCTGCCAGGCACTGTAAGAGACATGAGAGAGAAGAGACCAGAGCTACCCTTCAATGAGCTCATGGATTATGAAACAATAAAAAACAGGGGCACAAATAGCAGCGATTCAAGGCAGAAAGGGGCAGTGGCTCTCAGAGAGGTAGTGATGTGGAACTGTGAGCTGTGGAGACAAGGACTGGCTTTGTGGAGGGGTGGCTTTTGTTCATGCTTCAATGTAGCAAATATGGAGCACCAGTCATGACAGGCATTGTATCTTAGCACACATACACAAAAAAAACCACACACACAAAAAAACCACACAACTATGACCAAGACAAACAGAGTCCTGCTCTCACAGTGCCTAAAGGTTGGCTGGCAGGAGGTAGACATTTGGAGAAGTAGGAGGAATTCCCAGCAGAGGGACCTGTGGAGCAAAAACAGGAAAGCAGAGCATCACAAAGCAAATAGGAATGAGTCCATAGCTGCGTTTGCAGAGGAGTGATGATGGTACAGTGGAGTGGCATGAGAAAAGGTAGAAAGGTAGGAGGCAGCTGATGTGAAGTCCCTGAAATGCCAAGCTATGGAGTATGGATTTTAATTGGTCCAACAAAATAACCTAACAATTCTAAGTGACTGACTATACATTAAACTTCCCAGAATCACTAATTTTGTATCCAAATACACACTGCCTTTCTGTAACAAAAAGGAAGATGTTTGAAAGAAAATTGCCAAAAGAAGTAATTTAAATAAATTTATTCATGAAAGAAAAACATCTGAACATCAGGTACAGTCTGATCCACAATGTCGTAACTCATTTGCGGGAGTACTCTTATGCAGTTTGCAAGAGAAATTCCATGTGGAGCATCAGCTGAACATTTATCAAAATTCAGAAAGCCTTCAAACCTGAGTATTACACAATACATAATGACAATGATACAGTAATAAAAATACAATATCAAACACTCACTACTTTGTGAGTTACAAACTACAATATAAACAATTTAGGCTCTTTTTTAAAAAATGAAAAAATATTTCTATTACAGCCTTATTTCAAGCATTTTCAGTTAGATATAGCTTTATATACTTTTAGTCACAATAGATAGCTAAAGAATGTCTTCATAAGTATCTGTAGGTAAAATATATTACTTGCTTAATGTTTGCATTCTGAAGTATACTTTGACACATACAGGTTCCGGTAAGAGAATGAAATTGCTGTGGCAAAATCCTGGCTGATGATCAAGACTTGGATAGTTTTCATATTAAGTTAAAAAAATTTACATCACTGAAAAAAGAAGCAAGGACATACAAAGAAGCAACATCATTCTTTTGCAACGAAGCAGTCTAAGTCCAGGGAATGGGTTTTCCATTTTGAATTCAAAGTGTGTGGTCCCAAAGTTGAATTCTTTCAAATCCAAGGAGCTGCCTGCCACTGTGAGGCAACAGCAATGATGAAGCAAGTTGGGAGGAAAGTGTTAACTGAACTACAGAGATGGTCACTGATAAAACAAGTTCCTAGAAGTCCTCAGGCCCACCCAGAGGTGAAGGGCAGCCAGAACTATCAACACAAAAGAAAAATGCGCTCACTGAACTGCACACATAGAGCTTCTAGGAGGGTTAACAGTTCTTGACATAGGTTCCTGGTTGTAGTTTACAATATCTGCCTTCACCACCCTCTGTCATAAAAGAAAACAGAGTTATTATCAGGACATCAGAACATTTAGAAAGAGCTCCTTAAAGTATATTTTTATTTTCTGAACTCTGCTGAGCTTCTGATGATGGACACCACAAATGAAGCAGGAGTTGATATTAAAAGAATAAGCCAGACAAACAAATGAAGAGTGTTTTTTGTTTTTTTGTTTTCAAGAAGAGAATGGCAACTCAGCTATGGAGTTGTCCCTGGTTTTATGACATTTAACTTGAGGTTATCATAAGTCTAATGAAAAACTGACAACTCAATAAGGAAAAATTAAACCCTGATAATAATTTAGAGCAAAATAATTTAAATGAATCATTCACATGTATTTTAAATCATAGAAAAGAACTCATCATTTCAAAGTAAAAAATAACATTATTGATTAATATTTCCATAAGCCATTATATTTAGCGATACCTTTTCATTGAATGTTTACAGCAGTTTGAGTTTGTAAGAAGATGTTTAAATGTTAAAGAGGATTCACATATAAAGCAGAAATATTCTGAGCAATCCATTTTTAAATCTTTTCCAATTTCTAAAACTTTCCTCCAAAATCCCTAACTTATTTCCAAATGGCTCACTATTGGTTATGAATACAACTGTAACAAAATACAGTATAATGAAAAATTTAGAAAATTACTTCATATTCGTTTGTAAAATAATTTAAACCAAAAGATACTTTTAACTCTTCCTTCCTTCCCTCTAACACACACTTCAAGGAATATCTAAAATGATACATTTAGCAATATGCTTAATATTCATCTCTAAGTAATAATTTAAAACAAATCCTTTACTGTTTTCAACTCTACAAAGTCTGCACACACAAGCAGACAAAGAAGGGCAATTCAAGGCAGATTTTAAAAATACTCTTTCAATTACCAAGCTATTTCAGGAAAAATGGTAAGGAATGAATAATGAAATACCTGCCTCAATTCTCCACTTCACTGCACATGTAATAAACACAACCATAAAGACAAATATGTTTAAAAGTAACTGCAATGTTATTTTAATTTGTTCCCAATTTCTTAATTCATGTCTCCTGGCAGAGGACCAATTTTTTAGTTCTAATTCAAGACTTAGATGTGATATTAATTTCCAATAATGTACAATAATCATCTGAACTTCCCTATTCATAAGGAATAAAGAACAAGATAGCATTCACTGTTTTTCCCTCCCCACCTCCCCAAACTGTAATAATTTATCCCTTAATACCTGCACTACTGTACTGAATAGATTCTACCCTGAGCAGAGCTGGTATGTTGATTATCTTCTTCCGGGTACTTCACTATTTCTGCCCTGACAATATGCTGTCAATTCCATACAACATAAATGAGACAAAGAATAAAGAATTAAAAAAAAAAAAAAAGACAAAATGGAAAGTATGTTCAATGACTGAATATATAAAGAAACACCAAAGCAGAAACATAAAATTAACATATAAATGTAAACATGTCTCTCTCTCTCTCTCACACACACACACACACACACACACACACACAGCAGAATGTACACATACAAAAGAAAAGGAAAGGAACAAAGGCCCAAGAAACATTATTCTTTGTAATTCTTTAATTACTGAAATAGATATGACCACTGAACTTCCCAAATTGTGAGTTCCATTTTTGATAACACAATTATATATAACATATATAATGCCCAGAATTTCATAAGACTATGAAGAATTACGAGGTTTTTCTACATTAAAGTGCAATAAAAGGATTAATTCAATTTCCATTAACAAGATTTACTGAAGATATACTACGTGCCAGTCACTCTATACTGTGAATATATGGGCGACTTACACAGAATCTATTCACAAGTTGCTGAGGACCCAATGGAAAGAGAAACATATATACAACTAATTGCCATACAAGTTAAACACTTAACTAGTGGACTTATAATATGCTGTGGGAACACAGAGGAAGGAGTAATTAATTTCTTTGAATGTGGGGAGAGGAATGAAGACATCAGAGGAAGCCATATGCCATTTACAATTTTTATATTTAATACTACTTATTACTTGTCCTGGACTTCCTTGTGATGCTCACTCCCCCATTCCTCCCAATCCTAACCTCCATACTTCCAAATTCCATACAGAAACAAATAAATTCAAAATGCAGTTGTAGGTCATGTAAAAAAAATTCACGAGGTACAATATTTAAGTACAACAACTGCTGCTTTCAAATATCTAAGAGTTTTACTAAATAAGAAACGATTTGTTTTTACCTTGTTATATTCGTAATTGCTATTACTTTAGGATAAAAAGACCACATGTGACAAATATGCATGACAGATATAACATGCTACCCAAATATTTTAGATTTAAAACTATCCTCGCTATCCATGTGATTGCAAATATCTTATTTCAGGACACTCATTCTTCATAATAGCATCTATTAATTTACTAAGATAGACAGAAAGGCATCTTAATATGAGCTGCTATCTGTGATTACATTTATAAATAAAGATTCTATAAACAATTGAGAGTAAATGAATAGGATGCTGAGGCAAAGAACATATTAGCCTTGGGTGGCTTCTGCTTAAGTTCTCTAGCAACAAGCAGCATTAACTTTTGGACAACATTCATGATTTACTAGGCACTCCGCCTGATGCTATCAATACAAGCATTACCAACTGCCAAATGAGGTATGAGTGGAGGGTACATCAGTGAAATATTGTATACCATTATCTAACCTCCCCAGACCTAATTGTTTCATGCCAAACTATGGGTTACAATGAAGAGATGGGATTTTCATAATCAGTAAGCAACTCGTTAATCCAACAAAATGTTGGTTTAAGTCTTATCCTAGAAACACAACCAGGTTACTGTCCTGTGCTCGAGACATTTTGGTCCAAGAACTGACTAAAGTAAATGACTTGGATTTCATTATTAATTTTCATCAAATTAATGAAGAGTTAACAAGGCAGCATCACTCTCAGGGGCTTTGACTCTTTGACATAAAGCTTTGTAAAGTGTTTCCGAACTGTAACCCATAACCAAGGCTCTGCAGATTCCAAATTTCTCTTTCTATGATTAGAAAAACATAATTTCCATGTCATAAACTTCACGGTAGGTGGTTTCACTGTAGTCAGCTTATTTAAAAGTCATTTATTGATGTTTTTAGAGAAAATGTTACCTACAAAATACCAAACTTTATTTTTAGAGCCACAAAGTACACTCAATTATTCTCTGCTATTAGTTGATGAAATGAAAATAATGAAGTGGCCCTAAGAGGAAAAGAGTTATATGAGTGAACACAAGCTTAACCCTGATATTTTCAAAGAGCATTTGCCAAGTGGATACTGGAAATGGAAGCGGTAGCAATGGAGGGCATAAGCAAGAAAGCAACCTATGGGTTGGGGCACAAGGTGTAAGGAGTATAGATGGACTCTCGGAGAGATACTAAAGATAAATTTGGTCAACTGTGCAATTGCACCTTACTCCAGATAATAGGAACATATTTACCACTGCAAAGGCCACAGTTTGTCATGCCCAGGATATGGAGTAAACACACCCTGAAGGCTAAAACATTTGTCACTATCATTCATTCAAAGCCAACCACTATCCCAGATATTGCAGACATTTAGGTAAATAATGCACAATCTCTGTTTCTTGAGATAATAAGAGTCTAGCATACAAAACAGATTTTAAACTATTACAGAATATTCTGACTGGTATACATTCAAAGTGCAACAAGATTACAGAATACAATTTAAAGCATGGATATAGGATACAACATGTTAAAAAGTAAACCTACATGATCTCTAAAGTCCCATCTGGTTTTGAAATTTTACTTAAAAAATTAATTTAAAAGGTGAATAGGAAAGAGAAAAAATAGTATGTGATATGAAAATCCATTAAGCAACGTTCAATATCTGAGGGTTAGAGTAGTATGTACAAAATGAGAAAATATGCTCCTCAAGAAAACAAGTGGTCTTTAGGATAAGAAAGAAATCCCAGGACAGTTTTCATAAACATACTGGAGAAAATAATCATAAAAAATTAACACACGGGTAAGAAGAATCTGAGGAAGATCAATATTCAGGTAAAGCTAAAAAGCAGAAAGGACTCTTAATACCAATGGTTAAAAGGGTACTGTACAATAATATGCCAATTAAGATAATTAAAATCTTGAGTATGTCTATTACATGCCAAGCCCTACATGAGATACTTTCAGATACAGTTTGAAAATAGTTTGAGGGGACAATAAGGAATATATATTTTTAGCAAGTTTAATGAATATCTCACACATGATATAAATTTTTTTTTGGTATTTTAAAAACTAATACATTCCTAGTTCAAATCAAGTAGAAATTCATAGTTTATTAATTGGCAAGTAAAAATGTTGAGGCTTAAAAATGTATTAAGAACTCTTAACACCAAGTAGATATGGCAAAACTTCCTTGCAATTCAGTCTGAAGGATACAAGACAGGACTAAAAGGACTATGCTTTTTCTTTATCAATTATCTAATGCATTCTTAAAGAGCTGATGGCTGGATTTCCTAAACAACAGCAATTGTAAATTTATTTTTTCTCCCAAAGGTCTAGGCACTTTGCAAATAAAAAATCTGAACAATCTGGGAAACTATAACACTTGTTAACAACAGTATCAATTCTTACAATATCTTAGAGGATAATGGTTGGTCAGGGAGAAAGGGGAAGACTACATAAATGATGCAAATGAAACTATTAACCAAATTGGGAATTGTGGAAAAGGGACCTATAGTGTTCACTGTTTAAATGTTTGGCTGCCGCACTTATTCCGGGAGCTCCTTGAGGATAGGGACTTTCTCTTATTTATTTCTGTATCCCCAGATTCTACTGTGGTCCCTGGCATTACACAGACCCTCAAAATATGTTTACTGTGTTACCCTTGCAAAGCTTACAAAATGTGTTGATAACTCATTTTATATAACTCCCAAATAAGAGTAATCTAGGTTAGAAATAAACTAGCAGAATCTCTTTAAATAATCAGTGAATGGAACTAGGATTAAAACCTCATTGTAAACACTTATGTCGCAAAGTAAATTATTATAGTAGAGCATCAACATCAATGTGACCGGTGAGTCTGCCATTTAACTTCTTCTCTATAGAATAATATAAAGTACTTTCAAAGATTCCCTTGAATCCCCCCAGTAATCTTTCAAATGTCGCAAAAGCCACATACAGCGTGTGTGTGTATATATGTATGTCTGTGTGTGTGTGTATATATATGTGTGTGTATATATATGTGTGTGTGTGTATATATATATAATCTGCACTTCCTAGTCTTTTAGATGAACTTGCAAAAACGTTTCCACTGAGAAATATGAATTGTAAAATCAATAATTTAATTGGCAAAAACACCAAATTCATCAGGATCAAGAAAGAATAATGAGGCTTCTTGCTATATACAAAGAATTTTGACAAACATATAGAAGAGTGCTGCAGTAACTTGAATTCCCTTTCAAATGAATGCATTAAGAGTAAATGCCACCAACAAACTGAAGATAGAATTAAATCTCAAAGCATAATAAGCAAGGTGGATGTGCAGGGAGGGTAGAGAATTATGTAATTAACACATCTAATATCTCTTTATTTAAAATACGCCAGGATATTAAGCCCATATCCAAAGTCAAAATAGTAACTCTGTTGATCTTGCAACACGAGGGAGCTAATGTTAATAAAGCTTTCCCCAAATTTTGCCTCCAGTTGTTTCATCTCTCCAGAGGTCTCCTTGTATCTGATCACCGCTGCACGGCTCAGGCAGTACAAGGAATTCTTCCTCAGTGCAGCCCTCTCACCTGTGAAGCACCAGTCCACCATTCCCTCTTTCAGAAAGACCACAATCATTGGTTTCCCCTGTCTTCATTCCTCCAAGCAAGAAACCTCAGGGTTATTATCTTGGACTTCTATTCTCTCTTATCCAATAATTCCACAAGTCCTATCAGTTCCCTCTTTCCCTTCCACCTTGACTTTGGCCATTTTCACATGGTAGCAGTAACTCAGTCTCCTTACTTCAATCTCCCTCCTATCCAATGACATACAAAAATATCCCATTAGATTAATTCTATCTAAAAACTGCTTTCATTTATTGCCCTACCTCAAAATGTTTATAGGTCAAATAAAATTAACCAACTTGGCATTCATAAATCCCCAAAATCTGTTCTCAAACTCTTTATACTCTGACACAAATGGTCATTTATTTTAACCAAACTGCTCTTCTGTTTCTAAAATACAACCTAAGCTTTTCTACCCAGGTATATGGTTGATATCAGCTCCTCTTTCAGCCATTTTCTCCCTTCCCACTTCAAACTGCCCAGTACACTTTCCCCCAGTATAGTAGAGTGGAAACACCAAGGGCACAGAGAGACCTGGGTGCAAATTCTGGCTCCACCAGTGCCCAACTAAGGGTTAGTGATCAAGTTACTGAATCTCTCCACAGTCTCAGCTTCCTGATCATAAAATGATAAAATTTTACCTGATCCAGGGAGTTATGAGGATTAACTGAGATAACACAGTCCCCCTGGAACATAACCTATTAATTTTCTTTACTGAAAGCAGGGACATTTTAAAGTCTTTTAATTCTTTTTTAGACCCACCACTATACTGAGTATACAACATATGACGAATAAATCACTTATGATAATCACAGACTGTCTAATTAAGCAGAGACAAACATTATTTAGACAGAGAAGCTAAAAAGCAAAGGAATTACTTGACCTCTGGGATCCAAGGTCTATGTGATCAAGCAAATCATGGTGACTTCTCTTTCTTATATTCTCCTAGATCCAAACCATGTAACCACTTTTTATGTGTGTGGGAGCTATTTAAACATCACAAAGTATCTCAGCACTGTATCTGGCCATACCAAGTGCTAAATAAAACAAATGTCTTTGAATGATGGGAATTAAAATTAGCAAATGTTTAGAATTTCAAATATTTTAATCAAGTCCTAGAAACATCCACATCAGTATAACAATTTCAAATATTTGCTTCAATCATTTTAACACACACACACACACACACACACACACACACACACATACACACACACACAGAGGGACCATGAGAAAAAGATACAGAACTAACTCTAAAAGAATTAAAGAAAAATTTAAGGATGGGAAAAGATAATCAGACTTCTTTAGTTGCACAGGGTGCGAATGGGGTGGAAGAAATTGAGGAAAAATGTAATTAGTTTGTTACTTCTAACCAAACCACTTCTGAAGCATAACTTTTTAGGTGCTTGCTCTGATTTTTCATTCTATCAGACATATGAATTAGTGGGAAATTATAGTGGTACTTTAAAGTTCTTGGCTACTGATATGCATGTTTTTTTCTTAGTCTAACAGAACTATCTAGGAATAGTGAAAAAACTTAGAAATCCTTACTAATTAATAACACAACTAAACTGACAACAAAACAACATCAAAAACTAATATCATTACAGTCAAGGATGTTTTAAAGTTGAATAGACGCTCCATAACGATTTAAATAAAGAAGTATCAAACAATGTGGTCAGCACCTAAACTCATTAGTTAACCACTAATAAATTTTTTTTATACCAGTATCTTTTTCCCAACAAAAGAGACAAAATGAGGTTTCAAGGGTATCATAATTTGGCAAAAAATTAACATAAAAAGTTAACATTCTCCATCTTCTGCAATAAACACTGATTCATACATACAATCTATTCCCAAAGCTTTTATAGACACGTACACAGAAGGCATAAATGGGTAAGAATTTATGGGTGAAAATTAATGCCTTGTAAGAAATTCATTAATTTTTTAAACATAAAGTTCAAGGTAATCACCTGTGACTGTTCTATTTCTGCTTTGTTTAATTTGATCCCAAGGATTTCAGCAGCAACTTTCTGAAAGCACAGGAAGACCTACATAACAAAAATGGGTTTAAATGATATAAAAGAGTCATGCTTATCTTTAAATAAACAGAATTTTTAAAAAAATGATAAACAGCAATAATTGCAAAAATATGATATAGCAGGTGATTCCAAAAATACCTTTGTCAAATGTAGCAACATTTTAAATATAATAATTTTTAAATTATTAAGCCATAATTCAAAACTCCATCCAATTCAATGAATTTTCTCTAAACACACACATTAAAGATTTAACATGATGATTACAGCTACCACTTTAAAAAACAACAAAACAACCTTACTTACTAGTATAAAAACTCCCATACTTATTGAAGAAAATAAAAATAATCTATACTTTACCACCCTACTTTTCATTGCCAGTTTTATCTTGGTCCTTTCAGCCGCCTGTGGCCTATCTTAAAAGGTCTTACTTTCTAACACTTTAATACTCTCTGTGACTTTCACATCATTCCAACAAATTCTCCATGTATCTTGAGTAAAGCAACTTGGTACTATTTACTATATTTTATCAGTTCAAAGGAAAAATATATGTCATTACGATTAAACAAAAACAGACAAATATTTTTCTATAAATAGCCTTTCCACACATAGTTAGCTTATGTCAGGTCCACTATAATTACTAGAGTTCCAATCCTGACATTTAGTGTAGTATAATTATCTTTTCTTCATAAATGTCCTACCATATTCTTATCCCTACTCATCACATGCTTACAGAATATTTATCACAACTTCGTTAATTTTTATTTCTAACAAAAAATGGATACATATTTCTGATAGTCTTACGCCGTTTGTACCCTAAGAAGCATAATATATTTTAGTTCATTGATGGTCGATGTTCAAAGAACAATAGGAAAAGTACTGTGGTGGAGTGGAGAGAAAGAGTGGCTCTAAAAGAAGACGAGCAAAGGGATGAAGGGACTGCAAAGCATGTAGAATCTGGTAGGCTACTGGAAGGACTTTGACGTTTATTCCAAATGAATGGAAGGCATGGGAGGGTGGCCCAATGTGACTTTTATTTTAACAGCATTAGTCTGGTTGTTTGTATTAACATTCACTATAGGAGACCAAGTGTACAAAAAGAGAATCAGCAAAGAAACTAATGTAAAAGATTATGGAGGCTGAACCAAAGTGGTAGGAGTGGACACAGTAAGAAATAGTCACCAGGTTCTGGATATATTTTCAAAGTATAGCCAATGGGATTTGGTGACAGACGTGGGGTATGAGAGAAAAAGAGGAGTCATGAAAGGCTCCAAAATTTTTTTGGCCTGAGCAAATGGTAGATCTGCTATTTATTAAAGTGGGGAAGACTGTGAGAGATTTTAGGAGGGAATATCAAGAGCTCAGTTCTAAACATGTTAAATTGGGCAGCCTATTAGACATCTAAGTGGAGATGCTGCACAGGCAGTTGGATATAAGAGTCTAGAGTTCAGGGGAAAAGTCTGAGCAAAGCCAGAAGACTAAATAAAGCCATTATGGGACTACATGTAGAAAAAGAGATATCAAAGGACTGAACTTTAGTTGGTTGGAGAGATAAGAAAATTAGTCAAGGGGACTGACAGAGTAGTTAGTGAAGTAGGAAAAAAAAAAAAACAGGAGGCATTGTATCCTGGAAGCTAAGTGCAGAGAGTATTTCAAAGAGGAGAGAGTGATCAGCAATTATTTATGTTGCTACTTAGTCAAGTAAGATGAGGGCTGAGTACTGATCATTGGATTCAGCAAAAAGGAGGCCATTGATGACCAGGATATAGCAGTTTGGGTAAAATACTGAGGGCAAAAGTCTGCTGGAACTGGAAGAGAAATTGGGAAAAGAAGAACTAGAGACAACTCTTTCAAAACATATACTGGAAAGTGAAGGAAGGAAATGAGGCAACAGCTAGAGAAAAAATGTGGCATCAAGAGCTTTCTTGTTTTTAAGACAAAAGAAGTCATAATATGTTGTATGCTGAAAGAATAATCCAGTAGATGGAAAAAAATAAAACATATGAAACAGAACTGCTAAAGCAATATCCTTGATTCAGCAAAGATAAATGGGACTAGTACACAATGGAGAAGTTGGCCCTAGCTAGAATAGATCCCATAGTAACCACAGAGGAGACAGAAGATATGACAACAGATGGGGTAAGTAGGATGAGGTTAGACCTGGTAGCATCAGTATGTAGAAGTTGTCTTCTGTTTGTTTCAAATTTCTTATAAAATAGGAAACAAGGTCATCAGCTGATAGAATAGAGGAGGATAGTTTGAACACTTCTGAAGAGAGAAGAGAAGCTATGAAATAGTCATTGACTGGGCACAGTGGCTCACACCTGTAATCCCAACACTTTGGGAGGCTGAGGCAGATGGATCACGAGGTCAGGAGTTCAAGATCAGCCTGGCCAGGATGGTGAAACCCCATCTCTACTAAAAATACAAAAAATTAGCCGGGCGTGGTGGTGGGCACCTGTAATCCCAGCTACTTGGGAGACTGAGGCAGAGAATTGGTTGAACCAGGAGGCGGAGGCTGCAGTTAGCTGAGATCATGCCACTGCACTCCAGCCCAGACGACAAAGTGATACTCTGTCTCAAAAAAAAAAAAAAAAGTCACCTAGCTGAGGGAAGAGGTGGTAGACTAGGGATATAGGGCATAATTACTGAGCAGCATTAAGGGCCCACTTGAGATTAGGGATTGTGAACTTCAAGTGAAACCTCCAGCATACCTCTGTGCTTTTCTCTGGTCATGTTCATGAGCACACCCATGAAAAGGCAGAGGCTTGGTTTAAACCAGAATTAAGATTTAGCCAAGCAGGTCTGACAAAGTGAAAGAGGAAAAAGGGAATTGAGAGTATGTGCATGGCAATGATTTGGACTGGCCATGAGATTTAAGTTCAGAAGAGAGAAAAATGAAGACATGAAAGGAGGTTAAGATTTTGCAAAGGTGTTAGGATCAATGTCTTGTAGGTCTTGCTAGGGTTGAGAATGGTTGTGTTAGGACATTCAAGGATGTGAAACAGAAGATGGTTGGTGGTTAGTGATTAGGATGCCTGATACTGAGGTAATAGAAGAGCCACAGTAATTTGTAATGACATGATCTGTGGTATGTGAGAGTGACTAAGGTGGAGTCAGGAAGAAACAAGGATACTGAAATCACTAAGAATTATGACATAGGTAATATCAGAGAGAAAGAATAGTAAGCCAGGAGCTCAACTCCTCAAACAATGAGAGGAAGTTACCTGGAGCTAGAGATGATTACAAGTCTTAAAGTAATTTCATAAGAGCAAACCATTTCAAAGTATCACTTAAAAAAAAAATGAAGTTTTTAAATAGTGGTTCAATATAAGCACACAAAAAACACTAAGTGGCAAAAAAATACTAAGTGGTTAAAAACAAGTGAAAATACTACAAGTTAAAATAATTCTGAAATAGCAAAAAGACCCCTGGGAAGATTAAGTGAGGGCAGAAGCCCAGTGAATCCATGGATGAATTTATCTACAATTATTGACATTACATTTTTTTCAAAGGCATGGATGGGTGCATATGTGCCCATATTCACATTGTCTGAGGCGAAAGGATTCCAAGAGTCCAAATTTTTTAATGAGTCTTACCAAAAGAAAGATCAAACCCCAGTCATATTATTTAATATTTATTTTAGGTATAAAACTATAAAGGATATTACAGAGAAAAACATCAAAAATATTAAACCACAGAAAAATTTCAAACTTCTTTTAGTTGAAAAATGTCAACTGGAAAAATAGTCAAATGGGGGTCGGTGAGGATTATTTGAAAAAATTGTGACACATGACTATTAGCACTAACATAAAGATGGTCATAGAAAATTTCTAATGCAATAGAAAATTATAACAAGTAAAAAGCACAAAGTGAATAACTAATAAAACTTTTAAAATTTCAACCTCAATTATAATCAAAGAAATTCAAATTTAAATAGTGAAGTATCTTTTTTCTTTTGGGGGGGCCTACCAATTTGACAAAGATTTTAAAATAAATATATAAATAAATCCTGAATGTTAAAAGGATGTAGTTATGGCAATCATACAATGCTGGTGATAGTATGAATTTAGTCTTTCTGCTGGTGATTTGGCAATGTTTCAATCCCCTTTCAAGGAATCTTTCTACCTGAAGAAAATAACCAAAACATCAAAAACTTATGGACAAAATTTTATATTAGAACATTATGTTCAAAACTTAACAACCTATATTTTCCACAATAAGAATAAGACAGAATAAATTTTTGAACATTTATTAAATGAATTATTCAATCTATTATTAAATGACATGGAAACAATAAAAATAGTAAGTAAAAAGTAAAACATAAAATTATTTCTATATTATAATCGTAATTTTAAAAAATAAATACAGGCTTGTGGTTAAGACTGCGAGTCCCAGAGTGTCACTATTTGCCTTTACAAATCCTCTCTCCTCCACTTATTAGCTGTGTAATCTGGACCCCATTATATAATTTCTCTAAGACTCCTCTATAAAATGGAGATAATCAGAGTAGTACAATGTCTATAACAAAGTAAGCACTCAATGAATGCCATCTCCTAGCCACAGGCAACAGTACTAGTATGAGCATCAGGAAAAGAGACTAGATGGAATCATACGAGGTTATGAGTGGTTACCTCTAGATACTGACATTATGGGTGGTTTATATTCATTTTAATTCCCTTTTTAAAAATAACCATAAAATTATGTTAAATAAATTATAAAAGTAATATAACCAGAATAAACATGTTATAACTAATCTAAGGAATTTTATGTTTTCAATAGGAATTAATTTGCTCCAAAGGTTAAATAATGGAAACATACTTCCTAGGAATGTTAGTAAATAAAAGTAAAACATCACTTATAATATACAGTATTCATTATTTTACTTACAGAGTCTCCTGTCTTGGCTGAGACAAAGTGGCTACTAAAACCATTTTCCTGGCAAAACCGTAAGTGTTTTTCAGGTTTTATTGTTCTCATATGCTCCAAATCAACTAGAAAGGTGTTAAAGAGAGAAAACAATTCAATATTAGAGTCTATCAATACATTTTTAACATGCTTGACTTGCTTTCCAATATTATATTCCAGTTTAGACACTAGCTGTGCAAGCTTGGACAATTTATTAAACCTCTTTATGACTGAGTTTCCACATCTATAAACTGGGAATAATAAATATACCTATTTTGTATAGAGTTATTTGATAATTAATCTATGTATAATGCACAATGACCAGCAAATAAGTGCTAAAAAAAATGTGAGCTATCATTATTATTATCATCTGTATAAGTTCAGGCACACTGATGATGTGCAAAAAAGATCTACTTAATATAGTACATTTAAACATGGTGATTAATTGAAGGCAAGTTGTACTTACTCAAGCATATTTGGCTTGAAACAGTTTAATTACTTTAATAATTAATAATTAGCTCTGTAATCTCTATAAGTTTGAATGTTAGCACAAATAAATAACTTTCTGCTTAAGAGATCAATATTACATTGGGTGTTTACATTAATTTACAGCCATAGTTTAATTTCACAAAGACATAGTTCAGTTGTTTTCCATCTAGAGTATCCATTTTGAGAGTAAGGGGCAAGGATATATTTCCTTGAATAGTTGTAGGTGCTTTAAAGCAAACCACAGTACTCACATGCAATACTGGTTTTATCCAGCACAGTCTATTTTTCCAAATGTGATCCTTTATTTAACAGTTTCTCTTTTTACAACACTACAGACCCTATAAGGGTGTTTATTCAATGCCGTCAAATTATAAGGCAAATATATTCACAGGATTTAAGGACAACTAGGCTCTTTGAGTCAATATAGGAAAAAAAACCTTAAACTGATTTCCTGAGGAAGGGACCCAACTGACTTGTAAAAACTTGTAAATTTGCAAATCTAGTAAGCCTACATAATAGTGCCAATTGATTATCAACTAAAAAACGCACTCATACTACATAAAAGACTTTATTTAAAATTATATTGAAAGTCTTTAGTTTGTAGGCTCAAGGGTTCTCTCTCTAGGAGATTTTTTTTTTTTAATCTAATGGGGTATTCCTGAGCCCCATTTATATTGTTTACCTTGGAAAATACAGAATTTTTTTTTTTTCTTTTTTTTTTTTTGAGACGGAGTCTTGCACTGTCATCCGGGCTGGAGTGCAATGGCGTGATCTCGGCTCACTGCAACCTCCGCCTCCCAGGTTCAAGCAATTCTCCTGCCTTGGCCTCCCGAGTAGCTGGGATTACAGGCGCCTGCCACCACGCCCAGCTAATTTTTTGTATTTTTAGTAGAGATGGGGTTTCACTATGTTGGCCAGGCTGGTCTTGAATTCCTGACCTCAAATGATCCGCACACCTCGGCTTCCCAAAGCGCTAGAATTACAGGCGTGAGACACCACACCTGGTCTTCTTGGTTTTTTTGTTTGTTTGTTTTTTGCTTTTCTGGCCACAGTGCTATTCCTTAAACATCACTATCTCCTTATTTACAAGAACAGGCCAAGGAATGTCCAGATACCACAGGCATCAATTTGTGGAAGACTAAAATACTAAGCTATAAGCAATGACATTTACATATCCAATTTATCATAATATTGAAGCTAAAAAATTTTTCTAATTCAACAAGAGTAAGAACAAATCTTGTCGCCAGGAAAAATTCCCATTGAAGTCACCACCCATTTAAATCACCATCCATTAAATAAATAAATAAATAAATAAATAAATAAATAAATAAATAAAAATAAAAGTTGTGTCACTTAATGTGTGTGTACATTTGTTTTTTCTAATGGTTTATTGTTTTTTCTTTCTCTTTCTCTCTCCTTCCTTCCAAATCTCCATCTATCACTTACTACAAAAACAAAAGTTTTTTTTCCTAACAAATATAACCATGGAAAGACTAGCACTACCATTGGTCAATTTTTTTAAAAAATGATTTATTCAACAAACATTTATTGAGCATCTATTACACGCCAGGTATTGTGGTAGGTAGTGATACGGTTTGGCTGTGTCCCCACCCAAATCTCATCTTGGGTGGCTGTGTCCCCATCCAAATCTCATCTGGAAATGTAGCTCCCATAATCCTCACAGGTCTTGGGAGAGATCTGGTGGGAGGTAACTGACTCATGGGGACGGCTTTTCCTGTGCTGTTCTCATGATAGTAAATAAGTTCTCATGAGATTTCAGGTTGGAAAGTAGTGCTCACAGCCAAGCACCAGCCTGTCTGCTCCCCCGCCCCACTGAACCCTGCCAGCCCCACCAGCTCCAGAGCCCCATCCCTGCACCAACACTGCTGCAAGAGTAAAACTAGGAAGGGAGAACAATGAACCTCCCCTACCCTGAGCAGCCACCCCCACCTGAGTGATCATGCACAGAGGGCAGAAACAGACCTGCACCTGCCAGCACCAGACCCCCATGCTAACACCACCACCAGCATCACCGTGGACACAGTCGCCAGCAGCAGGGGCCCTGTGTCCCTCAAAGCAATAATGCCTCTGCTGCCGCTGTGAATGCCTGCAGGGAGGCAGGCACCTGCTAGCACCCTGCTGCAGTTGATGAGTGCGTACCCCACCGTGCTGCTGCTGCTGCTGCTGCTAATACATGCAAACAAGGACAAATCCCACTTCTGCTGCCTTACGAAACACTTTGGCTAGTACCACCCACTGAAGTGTAATGACCAGTGGTCCAGGAATACATAGGTCCCACCAGCACAGTGGGTTCCTACCCTCGACGAGTCAGAGAACAAAGTTGGGGCTGGATACAAGTCCCCCAGATTTAGAGCACGAAGTCCAGAAGTTGGGAGCTGAGGTTTGGCCCCCTAAAATCTTCCAGAAATGAAGCCAGTTGACTGAATCCACCTTATACAATCAAACTCTCAAGATCAACAAATAGGATAAAAGAAAAAAAATCCAAAGATCAGCAACATCAAAGATTGAAGGAACATAAGCCCACAAAGATGAGAAAGAATAAGCACAAGAACTCTAACAACTCAAAAAGCCAGAGTACTTTCTTTCCTCAAAATGACGGCACTACTTCTCCTGCAAGGGTTCTGAACTGGACTGAGATGGCTGAAATTACAGAAATAGAATTCAGAATATGGATAGAAACAAAGGTCATTGAGATGCAGGAATATGTTGAAACCCAATCCAAGGAAGATCCAAATGATACAGGAGCTGAAAGACAAAATAGCCAGTTCAGAAAAGAATGCAGTTGACCTGACAGAGCTGAAAACACACTACAACGATTTCATAATGCAACTGCAACTATTAATAGCAGAATAGATCAAGCTTAGGAAAGAATCCCAGAGCTTGGAGACTGGCTTCCTGAAGTAAGTCAGACAAGAATAAAGGAAAAAGAATGAAAAAGAATGAACAAAATCTCTGAGAAATATGAGATTAAGTAAAGAGAATAAATCCATTACTCATTGGTGTCGCTGAAACAGATGGGGAGACTGGAAGCAACCTGGAACACATATTTCAAGATATCTATGAGAATCTCCCCAACCTAGCTAGAGAGGCCAACATTCAAATTCAGGAAATGCAGAGAACCCCAGTAAGATACTTCACAAGAAGATCATCCCCAAGACACATAATCATCAGATCCTCCAAGGCTGAAATAAAAGGAAAAATGTTAAAGGCAGCTAGAGAGGAAGGTCAGGTCACATACAAAGGGAAGCCCATAAGACTAACAGACCTCTTACCAGAAACCCTAAAGGCCAGAAGAGATTGGGGGTTAATATTCAATGTTCTTAAAGAAAAGAAATTCCAATCCAGAATTTCATATCTGGCCAAACTAAGCAAAAAAGAAATAAGACCCTTTTCAGACAAGCAAATGCTCAGGGAATTCTTAGCAGACCTGGCTTATAAAAGCTCTTAAAGGAAGCAGTGAATATGGAAAGGAAAGACCACTACCAACCACTACAAAAACACACTTAAGTACACAGACCAGTGATACTATAAAGCAACCACACAAAAAAGTCTGCATAATAACCAGCTAACCTCATGATGACACCCACATGCAAAAGAATAAAAACAGACTCTTATCTTTCACTATAAGCAAAAATCAACTCAAAATGGAGTAAAGGCTTAAATTTAAGACCAGAAACTGTGAAACTCCTAGAAGAAAACAGGAGAAATGCTTACAGACATTGGTCTGGGCAAAGATTTTTATGGATGAGGCCTCAAAAGCACAGACAACAAAACCAAAAAGAAGATGAATAGAATTATATCAAACAAAAACCTTCTACACAGCAAAAGAAACAATCAACAGAGTAAAGAAATAACCTGCAGAATGGGAGAAAATATTTACAAACTATGACAAAATATTAATATCAAGAATACACAAGGAACTCAAAAAACCCTGCAAGACAACCTAGGCAAAACCATTCTGGACATAGGAATAGGCAGATATTTCAGGATGCCAAAAGCAACTGCAACAAAAGCAAAAATTTACAAATGGGATCTAATTAAACTAAAGAACTTCACCACAGCAAAAGAAACTATCAACAGAGTAAACAGACAACCTACAAAATGGGAGAAAAGTTTGCAAACGATGCATCTGACAAACATCTAATATCAAACATCTGTAAGGTATTTAAATAAATTTACAAGAAAAAAAACTAAAAAGTGGGTAAAGGACCTGAACAGACACTTCTCAAAAGGAGACATACATGCACCCAACTAACATGAAAAAAAGCTCAACATCACTGATCATTAGAGAAATGCAAATCAAAACCACGATGAGATAACATCACACACTAGTCAGAATTGAAAAATCCAAAAAATAACAGGTGCTGGCAAGATTGCAGACAAAAGGGAATGCTTACATACTGTTGGCGGAAGTATAAGTTTGTTCAACCATTGTTGAAAACAGTGTGGTGATTCCTCAAATACTTAAAACAGAACTACCATTCAACACAGCAACCCCATTACTGGGTATATGCCCAGAGGAATATAAATCATTCTATCTTAAAGACACTTGTAAGTATATGTTCCTTGCAGCACTATTCAAAATAGCAAAGACATGGAGTCAACCTAAATGCCTGTCATTGATAGACTGTATAAAGAAAATGCAGTAGATATCCACCATAGAATACTATACAGCCATAAAAAAGAAGGAGATCATGTCCTTTGTGGGAACATGGATGGAGCTGGAGACCATTATCCTTAGCAAACTAATGCAAGAACAGAAAACCAAATATGACATGTTCTCACTGATAAGTAGGAGAAAAATGATGAGAACACATGGACACATAGAGGGGAACAATAGACACTGTGGCCTACAAGAGGATGGAGGGTGGGAGGGGACAGAGGATCAGGAAAAAGAACTAATAGATACTAGTTGTAATACCTGGGTGATGAAAAAATCTGTACTACAAACTCTCATGACACAAGTGTAACTATGTAACAAACTTGCATATGTATCCATGAACTAAAAGTTAAAAGAAAATACAGGAAGTTATCACGATTAGCAAGACAATGAAAATCTAAGCATCATAATTGTCTCTATTATTCTGGTCATCTCACATGTAATCAAATAGTCATAAAATTACATTAAATTTAATTATAAATTGTGAAGTCTATTTTACATTTTTACTTATGAGGGAAAAATATTAACAAAACTTGTATCATTGGGGAAATGTTATTTCTGTTGCCATTTAATGGCTCAAGTGATACATAGAAAATAGTACAAAAACAAAAAAGGATACCTCATTGTCAACACATTTTGTTGGAAGACACAAGGAAAGCAATGCTGAAGTATGAGAAGTAATTATACAATGTGGAGGTTTGCTACACATTTAGGTAAAAGTACAGATGGCTTGAACATGTCATCTTTTGGTATTTGCTAGATTCTTCTTCAACAATGAAATCTGAAGAAAATAGTTGTCTGTGAAGAATCAAAGAAAAAAATGTATGTTTTCAACATGATTGCTTCTTCAATTTAAAAAAAAAAAAAAGTATTTGCATGGAGTGGATACTTTTGACTGGAATGAAAATACAATTCTGAAAAGATAGCACCACCACTTCTGAATGCCAGAAAGCATATGTGCTTCTAAAGACACTGTCTACTCAATGCAAAACTTGTTGTGGGATCTGCTCGTTTTTCCTCCCTGACTTTCCCCATGTCAAATTACAGACTTGATAACCCAACTCCCAGTGTCAATTTTCACCCATCACTATCATTCAGTATTTTGTAAGATCTTTTAACAAATGTGGTTAGTCTAACATCTCTGCTTTCAGACAGCAAGATTTACTTGGAGAGTTGGATACACCATAAAAGAAATGCTAATTAAGAGCAACATCTTATTGGTTAAAAGTGTAGTCTTCCAAATTGAATAGAAAGCCCAGAAATAAACCACGCATACACGGCCAAATGATCTTCTATAAGGAGGCCAAGATAACTCAGTGGGGAAAAGGACAATCTCTTCAACAAATTATGTTGAGAAAACTGGATTTTCACATGTGAAAGAATAAAGTTGGACCTTTATCTTACACCACACACAAAAATTAACTCAAAATGAATTAAAGACCTTAACATAAAAAAACAAACAAACAAAAAAAAAACTGTAAAACTCCTGGAAGAAAACACAGGGAAAAAGCTTCAGGTCATTGAACTTGGTGGTGATTTCTTGGACATGACACCAAATGCAGAGAAACAAAAGAAAAAACAGACTAACAGGGCCACATCAAACTTAAAAACTTCCTGCATCAAAGCACATAATCAACAGAGTGAAGAGACAACCTACAAAATGGGAGAAGATATTTGCAAACCATATATCTGACAAAAGGTTAATATGTAGAATATATAGAGAACACCTGCAACTCAACAACAACAAGAAACACAATTTACAAATAAGCAAAAGGCTTGAATAGATATTTCTTCAAAGCTAATACATCATCAGAGAAATGCAAATCAAAACCACAAAGAAATATCACTGCACCATTAAAGTGGCTAAATTTTAAAAAAACAAGGATGAAAAAGATGTGGAGAAACTGGAACACTAGTGTTTGTTGGTAGGACTGCAAAGTGGTGCAACTGCTACAGAAAACTGTATGGGGTGTCTGAGAAAGTTAAACATAGAACTATTGTATGATCCAGTAATCCAACTTCTGGGTATATATCCCAAAGAATTGAATGCAGGGTCTTGAAGAGATATTTGCACACGCAAGTTTACAACAGCACTAGTCATAATAGCTAAGAGGTGGAAGTAATCCAAATGTTCATTGATGAATGACTGGATAAACAAAATGCAGTGTATATATACAATGGAATATTATCCAGGCTTAAAAAGAAAGGAAATCTTGTCACATGCTACAACATGGATGAACCTTGAGCGCAATACATTAAGTGAAATAAGCAAGTCACCAAATGCAAATATCATATGATTCCACTCTTCTGAGGTAACTAAAGTAGTCAGATTCAGAGACAGAAAGTAGAATGGTGGTTACCAGGGGATGTAGGGAGAGGAAAAAGGGAAGTTGTTGTTTAATGGCTACAGAACTCCAGATTTGCAAATGAAAAAGTTCTGAAGATTTGTTTCACAACAATATGACCACATTAACACTACTGAATTGTACATTTAAAATGGTTAAGATGGTAAATTTTGTGGTTTTTTTAACCACACTTTAAAAAAATACAGCTTTCCAAAGCTACAGTTATTGACAATCCACTACTCTGAAATACTTTAATGGAAAATTTCAAATTTATAAAAAAGTAAATAGTCTAATGACTCTTGAAGTATTCATCACTTAGCCTCAACAACTGTCAAGTCATGACCAATCCATTTCATCCATACCACCACTCTCAGATTATTTGAAGGGAAACTGAACCCATATATCACTACACGCATAGATATTTTAGTACCATGTTCTGTTTTTATTTCATTGAAGTTTACAGCTTTGATTCAGAAGCAACAAATTAAAATTCTGAATCTACCTTCACATAAATAGATCCAAAGACAAAAACCACATGATTATCTCAACAGATGCAGAAAACGCCTTCGACAAAATTCAACAGCCCTTCATGCTAAAAAAATAAAAAAATAAAAAAATAAAAAGCTGTAAACCTCAATTGCGGGGCTTACTGCTGATGTTAGACTGTTATGTAATTTTCTGCGTCAGGAGTGTTTGGATTTCAGATTTGTCTTCGATAGACCACTGCCTGTGTCTCATCTTGTATCTCTAATTGGAAGCAAGACGCAGATACAAACACAACGATATGGCCGGAGACCATATGGTGTTGGGCTGCTTATTGCCGGTTATGATGATATGGGCCCTCACGTTTTCCAAACCTGTCCATCTGCTAACTATTTTGACTGCAGAGCCATGTCCATTGGAGCCCGTTCCCAGTCAGCTCGTACTTACTTGGAGAGATATATGTCTGAATTTATGGAGTGCAATTTAAATGAACTAGTTAAACATGGTCTGTGTGCCTTAAGAGCGACACTTCCTGCAGAACAGGACCTAACTACAAAGAATGTTTCCGATGGAATTACTGGTAAAGACTTGGAGTTTACAATCTATGATGATGATGATGTGCCTCCATTCCTCAAAGGTCTTGAAGAAAGGCCACAGAGAAAGGTACAGCCTGCTCAACCTGCTGATGAACCTGCAGAAAAGACTGATGAACCAATGGAACATTAAGTGATAAGCCAGTCTATCTATGTATTATCAAATATGTAAGAATACAGGCACCACATACTGACGAAAATAATCTATACTTGGAACCAAAAGTTCAGAGTGCTGGAATGCTATGTTTTAAGAATCAGTCCAGATATGAGTTTTTTCCAAGCAACCTCACTGAAACCTATATAATGGAATACATTTTTCTTTGAGAGGGTCTGTATAATCATTTTCTAGAAAGTATGGGTATCTATACTAATGTTTTTATATGAAGAAAATAGGTGTCTTTGTGGCTTTAAAGACAACTGTGAAATAAAATTGTTTCACCGCCTGGTGGAAAAAAACAAAACAAAACAAAACAAAAAAACTCTCATTAAACTAGGTATTGATGGAACGTATCTTGAAATAATAAGAGCTATTTATGACAAACCCACAGCCAATATCATACTGAATGGGCAAAAACTGGAAGCATTCCCTTTGAAAACTAGCACAAGACAAGGATGCCCTCTCTCACCACTTCTATTCAAAATAGTGTTGGAAGTTCTGGCCAGGGCAATCAGACAAGAGAAAGAAATAAAGTGTATTCAATTAGGAAAAGAGGAAGTCAAATTGTCCCTGTTTGCAGATGACATGATTGTATATTTACAAAACCCCATCGTCTCAGCCCAAAATCTGCTTAAGCTGATAAGCAAGTTCAGCAAAGTCTCAGGATACAAAATCAGTGTGTAAAAATCACAAGCATTCCTATACACCAATAACAGACAGAGTGCCAAATCATGAGTGAACTCCCATTCACAATTGATACAAAGAATAAAATGCCTAGGAATCCAACTTACAAGGGATGTGAAGGACCTCTTCAAGGAGAACTACAAACCACTGCACAACAAAATAAAAGAGGACATAAACAAATGGAAGAACATTCCATGCTCATGGATAGGAAGAATCAATATGAAAAATGGCCATACTGCCCAAGGTAATTTACAGATTCAATGCCCTCACCATCAAGCTACCAAGGACTTTCTTCACAGAATTGGAAAACACTACTTTAAAGTTCATATGAAATCAAAACCATCTGATCTTTGACATACCTGACAAAAACAAGAAATGGGGAAAGGATCCCCTATTTAATAAAATGGTGCTGGGAAAACTGGCTAGCCATATATAGAAAGCTGAAATTGGATACCTTCCTTACACCTTATACAAAAATTAATTCAAGATGGATTAAAGACTTAAATGTTAGACCTAAAACCATAAAACCCTAGAAGAAAACCTATGCAACACCATTCAGAACATAGGCATGGGCGAGGACTTCGTGACTAAAACACCAAAAGCAGTAGCAACAAAAGCCAAAATGGACAAATGGAATCTAATTAAAGAGCTTCTGCACAGCAAAAGAAACTATCATCAGAGTGAACAGGCAACCTACAGAATGGGAGAAAATTTTTGCAGTCTACCCATTTGACAAAGAGCTAATACCCAGAATCTGCAAAGAACCTAAACAAATTTACAAGAAAAAAACAAACAACCCCATCAAAAAGTGGGGAAAGGATATGAACAGACTCCTCTCAAAAGACATTTATGCAGCCAACAGACACATGAAAAAATGCTCATCATCACTGGCCATCAGAGAAATGCAAATCAAAACCACAATGAGATACCATCTCACGCCAGTTAGAATGGCGATCATTAAAAATTCAGGAAACAACAGATGCTGGAAACGATGTGGAGAAATAGGAACACTTTTACACTGTTGGTGGGAATGTAAATTAGTTCAACCATTGTGGAAGACAGTGTGGCGATTCCTCAAGGATCTAGAACTAGAATTACCATTTGACCCAGCCATCCCATTACTGGGTATATACCCGAAGGATTATAATTATGCCTCTATTAAGACATATGCACGCATATGTTTATTGTGGCACTATTCACAATAGCAAAGACTTGGAACCAACCCAAATGTACATCAATGATAGATCAGATTAAGAAAATGTGGCACATATACAACATGGAACACTATGCAGCCATATAAAAGGATGAGCTCTTGTCCTTTGCAGGGACACGGACACCATCATTCTCAGCAAAGTATCACAAGGACAGAAAACGAAACAGCGCATGTTCTCACTCATAGGTGGGAACTGAACAATGAGAACACTTGGACACAGGGTGGGGAACATCACACGCTGGGGCCTGTCAGGGGGTGGGAGCCTGGGGGAGGGATAGCATCAGGAGAAATTCCTAACGTAAACGATGAGTTCAGCAAACCAACCTGGCACATGTATACCTATGTAACAAACCTACACGTTGTGCACATGTACCCTAGAACTCAAAGTATAATTTTTTTAAAAATTCTGAATCTAAAGCTATCACTTTTATCCTTCATTTGTCCCTGCTGATTCTAGTGGAACACTAACTCTCTAAATGTATGTGATGGTTCAGAATTTATTCACTTGGAGAACTTCCAGGATAAAGTGGCCTGTATATTAGGATATAGAGACAGATTTTGATGAGTAACAGAAAGTTTATTATATTAAATAGTAAACAATTCTGATTAAAATTATATCAAATATCTTTATAAAGAAAATGTCCTAACAGTAAAATATTTTCATATCCCAAGAGATGATCTCTGTTATCCAGAGATGATAGATTATATAAAAGAACTTGTCCCATATAAGAAATAACTTTTCTCAACTTTGCATTAAGGTAAATACAGAAGAAATCTGGGCTGAATACAGTTATAGTTCTTCAGTTATTTACAGATTCATCTGGAAAGAAAGTAGTGCATAGTGATAAAGAACGCACTCTCCAACAGTGTGCAAGGGTTCCCTTTCCTCCACATCCTGGCCAGCATTTGCCATCTCTTGTTAATAATAAGGTATTGTATTCTTGAAAGTTGCTAAGAGAATAGATTTTAAGTGTTCTCACCACAAAAAAATAAGTATTTTCTTGAACATTGCTAAAAGAATAGATTTTAAGTGTTCTCACCACAAAAAAATGGTAAGTATGTGAGGTAATACCTATGTTAATTAGCTTAATTTAGCCATTACACAATATATACATATTTAAAAACATAATGCTGTAAACAATAAATATAGTAAGTTTCCTCATCTATAAAATGAGAACAGTAATAGTACCTATCTCCTAAGGTTGCTATAATGGATAAGATGAATAAATACACAAAAGCAATGACTAGCATATAGCAAGACATTTTGTATGTGACTGGCATATACTCAATAAGTATTAGCTAGTGTCACTGTGGTTTTTCCAGGCATTCATTTACTCACCAACTACTTATGTAGTGCTAAATGCTGGGAAGGCTAAGAGGGGCACAAATAAAAAGATGCTATATAATGAAATTCTGAAATCATGAGAGTAACAAAGATCTGTATAAGACAATCTATAACAGGAATACAGAGACAGGAAACTTCTACAACTGCTTAGGGATGACAGGAGCCATATCACAGAGAAAGTGATGCTTCAGTTACATACTGAAGGAGGAGAAAAAAGTAGTCAGATAGCCTTAAGGATAGAGAGGATGTACATTCTTTCCTTTTTTTTTTTTTTTTTACTTTATTTATTTATTTATTTTTACTATTATACTTTAAGTTCTAGGGTACATGTGCACCATGTGCAGGTTTGTTACATATGTATACATGCGCCATGTTGGTGTGCTGCAACCATTAACTCATCATTTACATTAGGTATATCTCCTAATGCTGTCCCTCCCCCTCCCCCCACCCCACGACAGGCCCCGGTGTGTGATGTTCCCCTTCCTGTGTCAAAGTGTTCTCATTGTTCAATTCCCACCTATGAGTGAGAACACGCAGTGTTTGCTTTTCTGTTCTTGAGATAGTTTGCTGAGAATGATGGTTTAGCTGCATCCATGTCCCTACAAAGGACATGAACTCATCCTTTTTTATGGCTGCATAGTATTCCATGGTATATATGTGCCACATTTTCTTAATCCAATCTATCATTGATGGAGATGTGGGCTGGTTCCAAGTCTTTGCTATTGTGAATAGTGCCGCAATAAACATACGTGTGCATGTGTCTTTATAGCAGCATGATTTATAATCCATTTGATATATACCCAGAGCAGGAGAAAGAAATAAAGGGTATTCAACTTGGAAAAGAGGAAGTCAAATTGTCCCTGTTTGTAGATAACATGACTATATATTTAGAAAACCCCATCATCCCAGCCCAAAATCTCCTTTTCAAAAGGAATATGTACAAAAGCGTCTGAAAGAACCTGGCTTCCAAGAGCTAGTGAAATCAGCAGGGCCTAGGCCTAAGGGTTTTGTATGTGTTAAGAAGTTTATGTGTGAATAGGTCATCATCTACACAGTTACTCACATATTCCAGCCTACCCGAGAAAAATATATATATAAGCACAAAAAGGGAATTCTTGCAGGTGACATGTATCAGCAAACCTTACATTTTTCCTTGTTGGATTTAAATTACTTTCATTGACTACATGGACTGAAAACTCTTTGTTCTAAATTTAGAATCTATTCAAAAGAAAATTTTAAATGACAAAAAATGTTACCCTCCTATAGGTTTTCTGATTAGACATTTTCTTCTGTTTACCTATCTTGTACGCATAATTAACTATATCATAATTTTAAAAATAGAAGATGGCAAGTTTTATAATATTATATACATGCAGCTGATTATTTCTCCTCCTGAAAGTAACTACAGTTCTGCACATTAATCGACCTAAAGTTTATTCCGATTAACTGTACAGCTATAAAATCACAGGCTACAAAAAAAAAAAAAAAAAGTATATGCACTTCTTTAAAAGAGGTAAAACAATACTTCAAATGTATTAAATAAATATGACCACCTGTTACATGTCAAGTACTATGCTAGTAAGCACAAGGGATAAATTAGCGAGCAATATAGACATTATGTTTATCCTAACACTAATGAGGTAGAAAGAATAATAAGTGAGGAAGCATGTAAATAAATGAGTCAATTACTACAATTATCATAATCTGAAAGTGGAGGAGGTGACCAGATAAGAGAATAAGAGAGTCAAAGACAGGAGTAGGAATCAGGACAGCAATGACAATTTTACATAGGATAGCCACAGAAGATCTCTTTGATCTGAGATCTAAAGCAGTGGACCCCACCTTTTTGGCACAAGGGACTAGTTTCATGGAAGACAATTTTTCCACAGATGGGGGTAGTAGGAGGGCATAATTTTGGGATAAAACTGTTTCATCTCAGATCATCAGGCATTAGATTCTCATAAGGAACACACAACCTAGATCCCTTGCATGTGCTGTTCATAATAGGGTTCATGCTCCTATGAGAATCTAATGCTGTTGTTGATCTG